AATATCTAACCTAAACTTCTCTTGCTGAAATTTGAGACCTGTTGTTTCTTGTTCTGTCGTCTGCCAATACTGAGAACAGTCTAGCTCCATCCTCTTTTGAACCCTGTTTCAAGTAGCTGAAGGCTGCTGTTAAATCCCCCCTCGGTCTTCTCTTCTCTAGACTAAATAAGCCCGGTTCCCTCAGCATCTCCTCAGAAGCCATGTGCCCCAACCTCCTCACCATTTTTGTTGCCCTCACCGGACACTCTCCAATTTGTCCACATCCTTTCTGCAGTGGGTAGCCCAAAACTGAACACAGTTCTCCACCAGTGACTCACCAGTGCTGAACAGAGGCGAGTAATCACTTCCCTTGCCCTGCTGACAATACTCCTACCCAGGCAGCCCAGTATGCTGTTAGCCCCCAACCTGTACTGGTGCATGGGATTGCTCCATCTTAATTGAAGGACTTTGCACTTCATGGATTTCATAGATTTCACAGATGTTAGGGTCGGAAGGGACCTATTAGATCATTGAGTCCAACCCCTGCCTTGGGCCGGAAAGAGTGCTGGGGTCAGATGACCCCAACCAGGTGTTTGTCCAATCTCCTCTTAAATAGCTCCAACGAAGGGCGTAACACCACCTCCCTTGGAAGGGTATTCCACACTTTGGCAGCCCTCACTGTAAAGAATTTTTTCCTGATGTCCAATCTAAATTTGCTTTCTTCCAGTTTGTGGCCATTGTTTCTAGTTACCCCAATGGGCGCCCTGGTAAACATTGCATCCCCTATTTCCTGCTGCCCCCCCCCGATCAGTTTGCAGATGGCCACAAGATCACGTCTCAACCTTCTCTTGTGGAGGCTGAAGATATTCAGGGCCCTTAATCAATCCTTGTAGGGTTTTTTCTGTAGGCCTTTAACCAGGCGGGTGGCCCTCCTTTGAACCCTTTCCAGGTTATCTACATCCCTCTTGAAGTGTGGCACCCAAAACTGGACAGCGTACTCCAGCTGTGGCCTGACCAAGGCCACATAGAGGGGAAGTATCATCTCCATTAACCTGTTTGTGATGCACCTACTTATGCAAGAAAGAGTGTGGTTAGTTTTACTTATTACTTCATCACATTGGAGACTCTTGTTCATTTTGGTGTCGACTCCAACTCTGAGATCACTTTTTGCAGTTGTGCTACTTAGAATGCTACCTCCCAGGCTACAGGTGTGTTGATGATTCTTCCTCCCCTGGTGCAACACATGACACTTACCTCTGTTAAACTACATCCTATTCTGTTCTGCCCACTTCCCCAGCCTGTCCAAATCCATCTGGATTTGCTCCCTGTCCTCTGGTTTGTTTACCTCACCCCATAGCTTGGTGTCATCTGCAAACCTGGATGGAGTGCTTTCTATTCCCTCATCCAAGTCACTGATGAAGATATTGAACAGTCCCAGTCCCAGGGCAGAGTGTTGGGGGACTCCACTGCCTACATTTCTGCAAGTAGAAACCAACCCATCCACCACCACTCTATGGGTGCATCTCATAAGCGAATTTTCCACCCACTGGACTGTGTAATAATTTACATTGCAGCTGTTTAGTTTATTTATAAGAATTAGATGAAACACTGTGTCAAAGACCTTTTTAAAATCTATGTAACTAATATCTAGTTCTATTCCTTCATCCAAACATTTTGTGACCTGGCTGTAAAAAAACAAACAAACAAAAAAAACAGGTTAGTCAGGCAGTATCTGCCTGCTGTGAACCCATGCTGTTGAGTGCCATGAGTGCTCAAACAGTTGCACTAGTGGTTCCACTATGACTCCAGCTAATTCCCTGAGTACCCTAGGATGAAGATCATCAGGGCCTGTTGACTTAAATATATCCAACCCTTCCAAGTGCCCCTTTACTAGGTCAGCGCTAACAGTTGGTGGGTTGGTATCTATCTTGTGCTTACCTGAAGTCCCATTGGGATGCATGGATGTATCTGTGTCCAGGAACACAGATGCAAAGAAATGATTTAGGGGCTCCACTTCGGCCATATTATCTGTTACCAGTTGCCCTAGTCCATCTTGAAGGGGCCCTATGTTACCCTGTGCTTTCTTTTCATTTCCTATGTATTTAAAGAATGACTTTTTGTTATTCTTAACTTTTGTTGCCAGCCTAAGCTCCATTTCTGCTTTGGCCCTCCTCGCTGCTTCCCTACAAACTCAAGCCAGGTATAATTCTCCATGGTGACTACCCCCTGCCTCCATAGCCTGTTGGCCTCTCTTTTTTTCCTCCCAGGCTCTCCTGGATTTCTCTGCTCAAGCAAGACGGTTTCCCTGCTCAAGCAAGAAGGGCCATCCCAGTACACTTTATGTGTACTGGGATGGCCCCTTTCTGTGCCTGCAGGATCAGTCCCTTGAGAAACTCCCATCTTTCCTAGACTCCCATCTCTCCAATGCTTTTGCCTGTCAGTCCCTCCCTAACTAATCTCCTGAGCTTGTTGAAGTTGGCCTTTCCAAAGTCTAGAACTTCAGACCTAGTAATTATCTTTCCCACCTTTTGCCGGATAGTGAACTCTATCAATAGGTGGTCACTATCCCCTTGGTTACCTTGTACCTGCAGATCCCCCACCAAGTTATCCCCTGCGGCCAGCACCAAGTCTATTAAGGCATTTCCCCTAGTGGGAACATTTACCTCTTGTGGTAGGTGAAGGTCCTGTAAGCAGTTTAGAAACTTATGTGAATGGGCAGACCTGGCTGCCTGTTCCTCCCAGCAGATGTCTGGGAAGTTTAGGTCACCCATGACGACAGGTCCTTTGAGCACACTGCCTCTGAGAGCTGTCTTGAATTCTAGGTCTAACTCAACTCCCTGGTGTGGGGGTCTGTAATAAACCCCCACTACCAAGTCCCTTTCTCCCTGACCCCCCCACCCCCTGTAATATGACCCATAGTACCTCAATTTGTCCTTCTTCTAGGCCCAAATTAACTACAGAAGATGAATATTGCTCCTTAACATAGAGAGCAATGCTCCCGATTTTTTTCCACACTCTATCCTGTCTGTACAGCCTGTAGCCCTCAGTGCCAACCACCCAGTCGTGGGTAGAGTCTCACCAGGTTTTTAGTAGCCCAACCAGGTCGAATTCTTTATTTGCAAGCAGGAATGCAAATTCCTTTTGCTTGTTTCCTGTGCTCCTAGCATTAGTATAGAGACATTTAAGCCCCCCAGTAGCTGCCCTTAGTACTTCCCCATCCTGATGCTTAGCAGGGTCCTTGGTACTTACCTGGATTGTTCCAGCACTTGGCTCATAGTTTGTCATTCCTGGCCTCACCCTGTTGTCAATATCCCCATCCCCTGACGAACCTAGTTTAAAGCCCTGCATAGGAGATCAGCCAACCTGTAAGACTCTTACCTCCTGGAGGGAGATGTAGCCTGTCTTGTCCAAACAAGGCCCTATCTTGGAAATGCAGGTTGTGGTCAAGGAATCCAAACCCCACACGATGGCACCAGCTCCGAAGCTGTGAGTTGACCTCTAACACAGTTGCTGTGTTGCTGTCCAAGACTGCTGACCGGGAGGATGGCTGAGAAAACCACCTTTGCCCCCCAAACCTCTAAGCCTGGCTCCCAGTGCCATGTAGTCACTCATGACCCTGCCTGGACTACTCTGGACCGTGTCATTTGTTCCTACATGGATCAGAACCATAGGATAGTAGTTGGAGGGCCTAATCAGGTCTGAAATCCTCATTGTGATGTTTCAAATCCGGGCTCCAGGCAGGCAGCGTACCTCCCATACAGTGGGCTCTGGGCAGCAGGTGGCTCCCTCTGTCCCTCTCAGGAGGGAATTGCCCACCATGATGACCCATTGTCTTCTCCGGCTGCATGGTTGTCCCACAGCTTGCTTGGTGGTGGCTGTGGCTGTGGCCTCCACTGCTGCACTCTCTGCCAGTGACACCAGGGCCTCATATCTGTTCTCCAGCTGCACTGAGGGAGTCACTCTGGCAGTGCGACATCTAGCCCTGGAGGTGACTGTCTGCCACCTGGCCACATCAGTTCCCCCCTGTGATGCCTTCCCTCCAGGTGTATGGTCCTGCAGAGAATGGAAGTACCCATCAGTCTCTTCCTCAGTTGCCCTGATCCTCCGCAGCCTGCTAACCTCTGCCTGGAGTTCCCTCACCTGTTCCTCCAGGGCCTCAAGCTTGGCACACATGGGACAGGTGAGGGGACTCCTGGGCCATCCACCAACCCTGGTCTCTAGAGCCCCCACCAGGCAGCCCCCACAGACGCAGGGCCAGGGCACTGCCAACCTATCCAAAGGCCCCATCTGGGTAGAAGCCTCACAAGAGCTCTGGGCTGGAGGCCGCACTGGGGTAGTATCCCTGGCTGCACCCCGTGTCACCACCCCCATAGTAGTACCCATCCTCCTCACTTACTCACCTGAAGTCCTTGTGTTAGGCTGCCGATGTTAGGGGTTGAGGCCCCTCCTTTGCAAACTCTTGCACTAACTCCAGCACACCCCTGAAGAGCGTGCCTGTTTGCGGGGCCTGTTCATGCAGCTCCTGCCCGATGCAGCTGAATAGGGATGGGAGGGGGAAAAAACCCCTTCCCGATTTCCCTACAGCTGGCCTGACTCCTTCTTGCCCTTCCCCCACACTTGCCCAGGTTACCTTATTGCTGCTGCTGCTGCTGGCTCCTGCTGGCTCCTCGCCCTCTGGTCCCATCGCACTACTCCTCTCGGTGGGGTCAGCAGGAGAGCCGAGGGCACACGTGCAGTGGACACGTGTGCCCTCTTTGGCATCCTGGTCCTTGTTGAACCTCATGAGAATTGTTGTCCATAAGAACCACTTGACCTTGTTGAACCTCATGAGATTTCTTTTGGCCCAGTCCTCCAATTTGTCTAGGTCGCTCTGAATCCTAGCCCCACCCTCCAGCATATCTACTACTCTGCCCAGCTTGGTGTCATCTGGAAACTTGTTGGGTGTGCGCTCTGTACTATCTTTCAGGTCGTTGATGAAGCATTGAACAAAACTGGCCCCAGGACTGACCTCTGGGGCACTCTACTTGGTATCAGCTGCCAACTAGACATCAAGCCACTGATTACTACCCTTTAAGCCTGATGCTGTAGCCAGTTTTCTATCTGCCTTAAGTTCATTCATCCAGCCTGTACTTCCTTAGCTTGCCTGCAAGAATGTTGTGGGAGATGGTATCAAAAGCCTCGCTAAATTCAAGGTATACCACATCCAGTGGTCTCCCCACATCCACAGATTCAGTCTTATCAGCATAGAGATCCTGGGTGTCTTTGTTAGTATGTTTTTCTCATTTGATTTTTCCAAACAACCCTATGTGCAAAACTGTTCATTTTTGTAAGTATGGGGAACAAAAATGTGAAACTTAAAGATACTTAATGAAGTCATCCTTGGCTCCAAGATGAGGAGCCTGTGAGGGTTGCCTGGTTGGTCTCCAGTGTGTAGTCATATAGCTTCAGGATTAACTCAACTTTTTGCTGTCCACCAGCAACTCAGAAGAGTTTCTCCATGATCCTAGCATCTGTCTTTTCCTACGCATTTCCTTCACTGGAATCCAGAAAGAGAGAGGTTCAATCATTATAATGTTAAACAAAAGGGAAATTATGCAACCCTCTTATAATTTACTTTGAATTCCTCAAACATTTTGTGGAAACTAACATAACATAAAGGTTTTGTTTTCTGTTTTGAATAACAGAGCCCCTTCATTCTATTAGAAGATTGAAATTATTCATGTAAACTGATAAAAAAGAATTATGCTCCAATTATATTGTACTGTTGATATGTTAATCAGAAAATGCAGAAACATATATGACCCCCTTTTATGATGTAATTCCCTTCATGTAGGTAAAAAGTATATTGTGCGGTGTTTTGCCTGTGCTGGGCTTTTGCAGAAATGGGAGGAAGGTAATGATCCGGGGAAAGAACACGCAAAATGGTTCCCTGAGTAAGTAACTAAATGCCCTCAAGAACTATCTCTGTGTTTGCCTGCATTTCCTCTTAAAAATAACATAGCTATTTTTAGTATCTTTTGAGTTTAAAGCATCTGAATCTTCAAAACATTTAGATGGGAGAAATTTGATTCTGAAAATAAATCGAGCTTAGATCAGTAGCATTTTCATGTGTGAATATTTGCAAAGCAAATATGGGTGGTTCAACACAGTGCTAGATTTTGGCTGCTGTCCTGAAAACCCTCACACTGCAAGCAGCCCCTTTGAACTCCTTGCAGGGGTGCCTGTCAGTAGGTTTGACAGATGTGTGTCTTGGTGTCTAATCTATGTGGGACCTGTTCTATCATCCTTCTTATGGCAAAAGTGGTCTTATTAAAATCAGCAGGATTATGTGCACAGAAGGGAATTTTCAATAGTAGCAGCGAAGGTTTGACTCCTTATGAGGAGTTGAAGGTCTGGGAACAAACCAGTGCTTCCATTGTCTGTGGCAGCAGTATGTTTCTGGTCAAGGAAAGGTCTTGCCAAGCTTTGGATAGATCTTTTTACTGTATTGTTTTATTGGAAGGGTGGCCATGCAGATAAATGTAGGGACAAGGAGTAAAGCCAGCAGGAGCTAGGCTGTTCTTAGTGGTGGCAGGTGACAGAACAAGAAGCAATGGTTCCAAGTTGCAGCAAGGGAAGCTTAGGTTAGATATTAGGAATAATTTTCTTAGTAGGAGGGTAGTAAAACCCTGGAACAGGTTACCTAGAGATGTGGTGGAATCTGCATCCTTGGAGGTTTTCAAGACCTGGCTAGACAAAGTTTTGGCTGGGATGATATAGTTGGGAATGGTCCTGCCTTGAGCAAGGAGTTGGACTAAATGACATTCTAAGGTCCCTTCCAACTCTAATTTTCTATGCTTCTATCAAACCCTGCTGGATTTCTTTTCCCAGGGGTATAAAATGTGTTCTGAAAAGCATCTAAAAACAGGAAAGTTTTCTGTCTGATTTCCATTTGCTATTAACAAGGGAAAAATAGAAGCAAGCAAATTAAGAAAAATCCCATCAGTTTTCATATTGTATATTTGAAAAATTCATTTTAGTTACAAGCGCTCAGCACCACTCAGTGAAACACTGGAAGAGCCAGCAGAGAACAAATCGGCCTGTCAGTCTGAGCAGGTAATAGGTCTTACTCTTTGCTCTTGGCTGGAAAAGTCTTGCTTTGCTATTCAGAAATGGAAGGTCTTGTCACAGCAAAGTTGTGTGTTTTTTGTTTGTAGTAACCAAAATTTTCTCTAAAGTCAGCTTAAACCCTATACCTAAGTGGTAAAGTTTTTTTTGTTTGTTTGTTTGTTTTTGTTTTTGTTTTATTGTGAAGAGTAAAGGAACTCACCAATGCATGGTTTTGCTCTACCATGTAGAAAATGGTGTTTATCTTTAATTCTATCCCTGTGTGTACAGTGATATGAGAGAGGCCTTTAAAATTATGTCCTTAAAATTACATCCTTTTTGTAAGTTGATGTTAATAAAACACATCAAGAAGTGCATTTTACTTCCCTGGTATGTTCACAATACACTCTGAAGTCTGGCTATGGACGTTCATTTCTGAAAAATTTCCACTGGTAGGTATGTTTTAGCCTGCAGCCTCCCCTGTCCCCTGCTCTCTGCACCTTCCCAAGACTGGAGTAATCCTGGTCCGGGAAGGGCAGAGAGAGCACTTCCTGCTCCACTAATCCACAGGAGACGTCAAGACAAAGGAAAGTGTACAAACATTCATTCCCCCCAGGAAGAACTTTCCTGTTTTTTCTATCTGGCTGGAGTAAGCTTATTTTTCTGCCAGAACTACCATTTTGGTGCCAGCGAAAGATCTTAAATGTTTGTATACTTTTGGTTTCTACCAAGAGAATGGGGATTTTCCCAGTAGAAAATGAATATTTGTATGTGGCCTCTGTTTTAAAGATTGATAAATTGATTACATTTATTTTTGTTCGTAGCAAGCTGCCAAGTCAGAAACCTTGGAAGAGATAAAATTTCTAAATTATGGAATAACTGGTAAGTACTGTGCAGTATTTTAGCTGGTAGGCTATCCGCAATAACCTTTCTCTTGAACTCTGTAGGGGCTTGTTTAACGAGTCAAATTTTGGAGCCCTTTCTCAGACAAGATCCTTATTGAAATAAGGACTTCAGGATTCAGCCTATGCAGATGAAGCAGCTAGTGGAATGTCTAGGTGGCTGTCAAGTGTGTAACCTGTGATACAAATTGAGCTGTCAGAAGGTCGTATTCACTGCTGTGCGGGAAACTAGGGCAAAGCTGTGAAAGCGTCTTCCACCCTTTTGTGAGGGCTGAAATGTAACTTTGATTAAATGTATGGAGTTTTTGAAGGGTGAATTTCACTCAGAATGTCATGTTTAGAAAATTAGGAATATGTTATTTTCACTGTTATGATGAAGATACAATGTCATAATATACATTACTTAAATAGTTCTCTGCCAGGCTTGCTACACTCATTTTCCTTGTTCTACTTAAAATTGTATCATACACTTACCAAAATTGTGAGGCAGAAGTTCTCATAACATAAATAGATAGATTTCTGGCCCAAAAAGTCACATGTGGTGAAGTAAGACGTGAATCCCTGCCCAAAGTTTGTTAATAGAGTTATCACATCTGTTTCTTTCCAGTTAATATTGATTTGGTCCAATGTAACTTCAGAGTGAAAAATGGTCAAAAAGTGGATAAATCAGTTGTACATGTTTAATAATATTATATAGTATTTCATGTTCCATGTTGTGAGTGCACTACTAAGATGCGTGTACCTTCCATTCATGATTTGTAAGTTGGTGTATATTTAGAAATCCAGGTCTTCCCACTGTAGATTTAAGCCCTGTAAGATGAAGTTCATAGCAAAAGGAGCCCTTTGCTGCCATCAGCTGGTAAAGTGAAAAAAACACAAAAGAAGCCAGACCTCTTTTATGTCTTCACCTACAACAGCAGCTGGAGTCTCTATAGGAAACCCCCTTCCTCCTCTGGCTGCCACTTCCTGCCTTAGCCCCCATGGTGGGGAGAATGCAGTAGTGTAGGAAGCTGAAGGTTAGTCTTGAGCCTGGCCCAAAGGAGGGAGGGGGGAGATGGGGTCAAGTGCAGGGGTAGGATCATGCAGCAGTGGATGGGGGGAGCATCTGTGTGGTTCAGCCCCGGGCATGTGGCCCCTGGGTGGCTTAGAAGTTGGACAGACTTGACCCTACAATTCCAATGTGAATGATTTTGTCATCTAAGTGAAACATGTTAAAACACATGTTTTAAGGTGCAGGGCCAATGAAATGTTTTTATCTTCACTGTGTGACTGAAAGGTGACAGAATTGTACCAGATGGGCTGTGAATGAAGCCTCATCATAACCTAGCTCATCTGGGTGCTTCTGGATAGTGGAGCCCAGACACAAGTCAGATGGATGAGGAAGGGAAAAAAGGCTAATGCCTTTTAGCAAGGATTCCACTTGAGAGTCCTATCTGTGGTTTTATGTCCTCCACTGTTTGCCTCTGAAGCTGCAGAGGGAATGACATATATAAGTGAACTTGAGGGTTTCCTTACCATATCTGGCAGTATAGCTACATACACATTCAGCATGGGTGATAGAACAAAAAACTCTTGGCTCCACAAGCAGAAGATGAGATTGAGCAATACTCTTGGTTGTTCCATGATCATTTCCTCATAACTTTCTGGGCCAATTTCATCCCTCAAGCGACAGTTTACACCAGGAATTACTAGGCTGAATGAATCTTTTGTATGCAGCATAGTAATATAGATGGAAGGAGTATCTCCTGCATCAGCCTTTCAGCAACGTCTGAGCAGGGGACCCATTTGTACATCGGGAACATTCTGACAAGGTCTGTAGGTTTCTGTTGTGTGCACTTCCTTCTCTTTATCTCCTTTCTATTCACAGACATGACCCCTGAGGATCCCGAATGGTCCCAAGAAGCCAAGGCATTGACTGAACAGCTCAGGCAGGCTTACAGTAATACCAGGTTTACCAGACTGCCTTCTTTTGGTGACTCTATGCATTTTGCCATTGATTTGAAATTGCTCTACGCAGACCTGTCAGTTGTCTCAAAGGATATCTATAACCAGCCACTGCAGCAGCTCTTGCTGCCTGACATCCTTGAAAACCTTAATTCCATCACTGTCCTCGAAGGTGAAGCAGGAGGTGGGAAGACACCATTACTGAGGAAGGTAGCTGCGCTGTGGGCCTCAGGCTGCTGCCCCATGCTAAGCAGGTTCAAGTTGGTCTTTTATCTTTCCCTGAGTGCCACAAAAGGGGATCAGAGCTTGACTGACATCATCTGCAACCAGTTAGTGAGATTTCCAGGGTCATTAACAGAAATGTCCCTGAGGAACATCCTTCAGCACTTAAAGCACCAGGTCCTATTCCTTCTGGATGACTACGGTGAGATGAATTCAGTTCCCTCGGTCATCAAAGGACTTGTACAAAAGAATCACTTCAACAAACACTGCCTGGTTATCGCCGTGCGTACTAACTGGATCACAGAAATCCGCAAGCATGCAAATACAATTTTAACTGTTGTGCAGTTTCCTCTGTACAGCACTCTCTACATCCTTCGGAAGCTGTTTTCACACATTGCCCTTGTGGAAAAGTTCATCTATAAGGTGCAATGTGAAGACGCCATGCAGACTCTTCTGAAGACCCCGCTTCTAACTGTGGCTCTCTGTGCATATTGGGTACAGTACCCAGGAGGGAACATCTTCAATGACAAGGCTATTTTTAAAGCCTACTTGCTGTATAACTCCCTAAAATACCTGGAAGAAGGAGACCATGTTAGCACCATGGTGTCCTCCTGTGGAGAGCTTGCCTTAAAAGGTCTTTTCAAGCCGTGCTTTGATTTCAGGGAGGAAGACCTCTCTGAAGCAGGGCTTGATGGAGATGAAGCTCTGAGATTGGGCCTGCTGAGCAAATTCACTGCCTAAAGGCTGCAGCCAGTTTATCAGTTCTTTCATCCGTCATTCCAAGAGTTCCTGGCGGGGCAAAGGATGAGTGAGCTCCTGGCTTCTGATGTTGAAGAAAACCTGGAGAGAGGACTGTATTACTTGCAGCAAATCAGCATGTTGAGGAAAGTTTCTGGGACCTATCACTTTTTGTTGCAGTATGCTCGCAGCTATCCTTCCAAGGCAGTTCCAAAAATCATAACCCATTTATTCAACTTGATCCACTCTAAGGAGGCATTTGAAAGTCATTCAGAAAGTGATGAACTTCTACAACATCACCCAGAACTACAAATGGTGGTACAGGCAATAGATGTTTTGGAGTCAGAATTTTGTCTTTCATTTTTCACTCACCTTTTACTGGACACTGCAATTTCTGCAGCTTATGCAAGTGACACTGTTGCAATGTGTGCCCCAGTCATCTTTGAGTTCCTTAGAGGAAAAACCTTTTTTTGTTAGAAAACCAAAGCATGCTGAATTTTTTATATGATTATCCAGAAAGCTTATCCTTTCCCAGAAGCTCTGATGTAATTTTAAATGGAACTGAAAATAAACTAAAGTTAAATTTTTCAGATATAGGAACCTGTTTTTCTGAAATGGAGGTTCCAACTGTTGATAAGGATTATGCTCTTGCTTTTACACACTTCAATGACATGGCACAATGGGTCAAAAAAAAATGAAGATGATATTTGTAGCTTTTGGTCTCACATCCCTAGACATCTGCTGGATTCTGTTATGGCTCCTTTCATACTTGCAAAGGGTCGTGGAAAAATTTCAGTTTTGAAGTTTACAGCCAATGACATCAGTTCATTTAAAGAAGCTGATCTCAGGAAACCTAATGGTGCTATTCTCCATTTCAGAACATGTTGAGCTTTGTCTGAATGATAGTCCAGAACTGGTTGAAAGTATCTGACCAGCTCTTGAACAGCACAAGGAATGCTTTAAAAAATGCCGCCTGTATAATGTTAACTTGAGTGTAGCAGAACAAGAACTGCTTCTGTCTATGTCTTCAGTGGAATCTCTTGAGATAAGAGAAGGAACACAAACACCAGGTACCATCACTGTATTTTGGCCAAATACGTTTTTTCCCTCTAATCCCTTTCTTTCTGATTACATGCATATTGCACAAAGCAATACTTACATGCAGGACTAGCTGCATACACGCTAAGTTCTGGAACAGGGAGCAGAGCTAATTAAACTACATGGAACCTGTTAACGCATCTATATACTGTTTGTGGTTTGAGAGTTAGAATGGCATTTCTCAATATAATGCTGCCCTGCCCCACATTAACATAGTCTTTGCTTTTATGATGGGTGAAAGTTTTAAATACGTGAATGGTACAAACCTACTCTGAGATTCAAAATAATTTCTAACAGTGTTGACAACAACTCAGTACTTGTGGTGAAACTTAGGCTTCTGTCTAATTCTTAATTTCACACTCTCCCCCAGATTTTGAGTGGAGAAACTAATTGGATTGCAAATGGGAATGTCAGTTATGAGGAAAGCTTTTCTGAAGAACTGCATTAAAACTATGTGTATTCTTTGTAATCCCCCTTCTTCCTCCCTGCCCTCCCCCCAAAAATGTTTGTGCATTAAATACTTTCTATCATCATTTTGGGCTCCAGATTCTGAGCAGTTGAAAGGTTTACAAAGCTCCCATCATTGCATCCATGGATACAACTCTTTATGCCTATGGAAAATGGCCATTGTAGGACATTTTCCAGATGTGTTGTTAAGGAATTTTAATTGTTATAGCCTGGATAGATAGAACATAGAAGAATCAAGGAAAGTAAACCAATTTCATTATTTACCTTTCAGAATTGCTGTTTAAAAATTTGGACAAATTCATCTGCTTGAAAGAATTGTCGGTGTGTGCACAGAATGATCAAAATGTGTTTGATATTGTGCCTAGTGGCTTCAGAAATCTCCATTGCATGGAGAGATTGTTGATCAATAACGTGCGCTTTCAAAATGGTTCTTCCAGGCTGGGTAAGTGCACCTTTAAACCTTTTTGACAATCATGTTTGGGTAGAGCTCTCCTGCAGAAAAATAATTGTTTTAAATTCTTCTCTAGGGATAACACTGCATCCTTCCTTCAGTTGTCAAGAGAATCACACTCTTCTCCTTTGTTACTATCCCCCATTTTTTAGCTTTGGCTTGTGATTCCAACAAATTAAAAACCTTCTGAACCTTTCATTGTTATGTCTTAATTGATCAGGAGGAGGAATTGGCATAGAGCAGGGATAAGCAATTATTTGGGCCAGAGGGCCACTTGGAGGGAATATTGGTGAGCTGTCCTGGGCTGGGTCAGCACCCCTCCTCTGCAACAGCTCACCAAAATTCCCTAAGTGGCCCAAATAATTGCCCACCCCTGGATTAAGGGAACCTAACCTTTGTTCCCCACTTCTCCCCACACCACCTCCCCTGGCATGCAGCCAGGCTGGACCAGTGCTGCACTGTTCCTGTGCACTGCCTCGGGCCACATGGGATCAGCTGCAGAGGCACTTGCCTGACCCGGCTGCGTGTCACGGACTTGGGGTCAGGCAGGAGCTGCTCCAGCTGCACCCACGTTGCACAGCCCGAAGCAGCACACAGAAACACAGCATGGCATCATGTTAGTGGTGCCCATGCCCCTACCATGCTACAGCCCAGCAGAGCCCAGATAACCTGCAGGTTCTGGCTCTCTTTCCCTCCCCCACCAGTGGGAAGAATTTTACCTGAGTTTTGACTTGCCAGGGACTGGGTTGTCTGGTGTGCGGAGGGTCACTGGGTTGCAGCTGCACTCAGACAGCCTTGCTAGGCAGGAGCTCAGTGCCCCCTGCCTTGGAGCATATGAAGGGATCTAGGGGGTATGGAGTAGCTGCTGCTACTGCAGCTACAGCCCAGGGAAGGGAGAAGGGCAAGAGCCACTGAAAGCCAGGGCAGCTGCAGGCCACATACACCCCTGGCCTAGAGGAACTGGAGGCATTTATTTAAAAGGCTTCTGTGGCACTCTGATTCTGCTAAACCCTGGGGGGGGAGCCAAAATTGGGAACTGAATTCATATCACCTACATAACCACTATAATAAGCAAGTGAGCTAGTCATTGCTTTCATGCCTCATTCTGTACCCGCTGAAATTGGTTGGGGTTTCTTTCTAAGAGTTGTATTTTAGAAAAATACACATTTCAGCTACTTATAACTTAATTAAAATAGAAGATTATCATTTGAATCTGCCAACATAAAGATGTGTTATGATTAGGATACCTCCAGATTATTAACTGATTCTTGGTGTTGCTATTCTGGTGGCAGTTGTAACACATATATGAAATTCTAGGTCTCTGTCACCTCTAGGAAATCTAAATATGTGACACAGATACAGAATTAGGGTGTCACAGGCCAGCTGGGCACTGTGAGTGTATCAATTTTATCACAGGCCAACTGGGCTGTTTGATTCAGTTTTGGATCAAGGAGGCAAAGTTGGGAGTGAAGTGAAGGCAAATTTATTATAGCTTACTGTCACAGGGGCACTGAGGTGCCCTGTTCCTAGGAAGGAATAAGGGCAGCTGCCAATCACCAGGGCAGCTCAGGTGACAGCTGCTGGGGCAACCATGCTGGTCAGGTGACCAGGAGGGGGCAGGGCCGGGCCTTTATAAATAGCCCAGGCCGAAGCCTAGCTGGCAGTTCCCTTCTGGCAGCCTGAGATGCAGGAGCTCTGCAGTAGAGCCAAGCAGAGCAGAGACGAGCGGTGCAACCTGATCACCCAAGGGGCTGCATCATGAAGTAAGGCTGGAGGGAACCCTGATTGTGAAGCTTGGTGGTGGAACATAGTGGCCATAGTGGCGGGGCAGTTAAGGTATAGCCAGGAGGCTTATTTTCAGTTATAGCTCGTGGGTTCAGGGCTTTACGTTTCTTGTTTGTTACTGCTACAGACCAGAGGACCGGGAGAGGCTGTAGGGGTGGAGGAGGCCTCATTAGGAGCTCCCCAGAGAGGAGGGGGTGCTCCTAGTGCCGGAGTGTGGTGCTACAGTGTGGGGTGTTTAGATCCCAGCCCCAAGAAGGGGCGAACAGAGAGAGAGGCCCCGGTGAGGGCACGTGTTGAGAGAAGCCCCTGAGGGGGCGCATATTTTGATAGAAATCCCAGGAGGGGTGTGGACTGAAAAGAGTCCCAGACCGAAGGGTCAGAGGGGCCAAGTAAGGCTCAGACTGCCTGAGCCCAATTGGAAAGAGTCCCAGAGGGGCTCCACAGTGGTGGGAACCCCGAAGGGTCAAAGGGGCCAGGTAAGGCTCAGGCCGCCTGAGCCCAATAGGAAAGAGTCCCAGAGGGGCTCCGCAGTGGTTGGAACCCTGAAGGGTCAAAGGGGCCAGGTAAGGCTCAGGCCGCCTGAGCCCAATAGGAAAGAGTCCCAGAGGGGCTCCGCAGTGGTTGGAACCCCAAAGGGTCAAAGGGGCCAGGTAAGGCCGCCTGAGCCCACTTGGGGCAAGTACTGTTAGCAAGCCCGAGAGGGCGAACGACTAGAGAAGGGGTGCCAGTTGCGTGGCAAGCCCAGGGGCACCAGAGAAGGGGTGCCAGGGGCGTGGCAAGCCCAGTGGCGCCAGAGAAGGGGCACCGGTTGTGTGACAAGCCCAGGGGCGCTAGAGAGAGGCGCCAGTTGCGTGACAAGCCCAAGGACGCCGGGCAGGGTGCAGAAAGGAAAGGGACCAGATAACGTCCAAAAGAACTGCGAGGCTTGGGGCATGCTAAAGGGGAGGTAGGAGGCATGCATAGCCCATAAGGCTGGGGTGCACCTGGTCACTCCATATGGAACGGGGGACAGTATCAGCATAGCACCGTGTCCAAGGGGACCGTAAGGCAGCCTCCCACATAAAACTATACATACCAACAAGACGTGGAGGGCGAGAAACGAGGGTGCTGGATCACCGACTTGACGCGGCAGGGGGCGCTAGAGGGATCACAGCCGCTCCTAGGCCCCACTCTGTGACACTTACACACACACAAGTTAACAGAAAGATAAATGCAATAAGCAGATAATGCAGTATTAAAGAGCTAATAGTAAATAATAACAACAGATAGATCAATTCTGTCGCAGGCCAGCTGGGCACTACGAGGGTACTAGCCACTGGGCTGTTCAAAACAACAGATAGACAGATATGGGTTGGCAACTTATCGATAGTCCCTCAATGCCAGGTACGCATCAAGTGATTCCAGCGAAGTCAGGCGTCCCTTGATCAATGCTGTCAGAAGGTTACCGGGGAAGGTCCCTTGATCCGGATCTGATCCTCACTCACACCAGGAGTCTGGGGTCCGGGTGTGGGACAGAAATGACCATTCTGCTCCCTCCTTCCTGCTGGTTACCTGATGCACGTGCTTTTTATACCTAGTCTTATGTTAATCTGATGGCCTCAGAGCCACTCATAATGTTGCCGTATAGCTGTTACCCTATGGCATTGAAAGGTGTTAAAATTATCATAAAAGGTTACTACCCAGACTAGGGTTTATCCAATAAGCAAATTATGATTCACCACCTTTTAGGTTTGAAATTGACATTGCTTTGCCTAAGTTCCAACCCCTTTTAGGCTTCATTTGAATATGCTTTCTTGGGATATGTTTTCTTGGAATCTGTTGGGTGCACCAGGCATTTAGATCCAGTTTTATCATCAAGGCTGAACCCTGAGCAAAAAACCATTAGGTCTCCTAATCTTACAGCTACAGCTTTGCCAATGGGGCCCAGTCAGTTTCATGAACAGTTAATTTTATAATTTTGGTTAAATTTATGACAGACAAGTTACATTTGCAGTTTACAAACTTACAAGCTTTATATGAACTAGTATTACCTGTTTAGGCAAAATACCAAATACCTCCAAGAAGCACATTTTATTGTTTATTAATCCCTCTGGTTCTGGCTGTTACATTAGGGATGCAGCAAAGAGGGAGAAGCTAGAAAAATATTGAATCCTCTGTTAAGTGACTCAAGGGATTAGCAAAAGGATTTTTTAATAGGAAGTGATTTGTCTAATGTTATTGGAAGAGAATTGCAATCTGCATATGTGAAGATATACTGTGGTCTGATAGTAAACTATTTTTTAACAGGAGAAGGCAAAACATGTTTTAGTGGTTAAAATTTAGATAAGAAGTTGGGCAGGCTGAAATGTACAAATACAGTGTGGATTTTTAACAGTGGAAATTAAAGAATCATTGGAAGAACTCACTTAGGGATGTAATGACATTTTGCATGATGAAACTTTAGCTTAACTCTTTTCTAAAATATATGCTGTAGCCCATAAAATGTTTCGGGCTTCATTCTTTAAACTAGTTCAACAAGAAGAGGAGACCTAAGCCCACAAATAATAAACAGAGGGTGACCTGGATAAAGGCCTAGGACTGGGTGAAAATACTGGAAATCTGAGCAAGGTTGTAAGAGGGAAGCTAGCAGGACAGTTGGCTAGTCATCTAAACTGCCTAAATACTAATGAAAGGAGTATAAGGAACAATTTGAAGTCTTAGCATATACACAAAAATATAAACTGTACTGAAATAGTTCATGATTTTGAAGAAAGGAGATCAAACAGAATAAAATAATTGGAGTTCAGAAGGGCAAACTTTTACAAATTGGTGGGAGGCAACTCTAAGGGAACACAACCTTGCTGAGTTGGTTGTTCCTTAGAGACTTCTAAGGGCACACTATCCTATTGAGAAGAAAGGATTGAAAGCTTAGCAAGAGACATGGTTAGCTAAAACATGAAACCTCAAATGGGAATGTTACAAAAAATGGAAACTTGGCTAAATGACTAAATATGAATATAGGAGTATAGTATGAGTAGAATTTATCAGAAAGGTCACGGCATAAATTGTGACAGTGCTTGCAAAGAATGTGAAAGACAACAGAAGAGCTTGCCATATCAATACATTAGAGATGAGAAGGAGACCAAGGAGTAGGGACTTACCTAAATTGTGGTTTCATGGATTTTGTGGAAACTGAGAAATCCAGGGTTGCCGGTAAAATCCTTGAA